GGGTCAGATCCCATTGTTATGTGGAAGGCCCTTGTTGGGTGGAATCCCATTATTGAGTGGAAGCCCCTGGTTGGGTGGAAGCCAGTGGTTTGGTGGAAACCCATTATTGAGTGTAAGCCACTGGTTGGGTGCAAGACCCTTGTTGAGTGGAAGCCTCTGGTTGGGTGGAAGCCCCTTGTTGGGTGGTAGCCTCTGCTTGGGTGGAAGACCCTTGTTTAGTGGGAAACCCTGGGTTTGGTGGAAACCCATTATTGAGTTTAAGCCACTGGTTGGGTGCAAGACCCTTGTTGAGTGGAAGCCTCTGGTTGGGTGGAAGCCCCTTGTTGGGTGGTAGCCTCTGCTTGGGTGGAAGACCCTTGTTTAGTGGAAACCCCTGGTTTGGTGGAAGCCGCCTTGTTGAATGGAACCCCCTTGTTGAGTGGAAGTCCCTGGTTTAGTGGAAGCCCATGGTTGGTTGGAAGCTCACTGTTGAGTCGAAGCCCCTTGCTGGGTGGAAGCCCATTGTTTAGTGGAAGATCCTTTTGCTGAGTGCAATCCCATTGTTGATTGAAGACAATTGCTGAGTGAAAGACCAATGTTTGGTGGAGGCCCCTGGTTGGGTGGAATCCCATTATTGGGATGATGCCCATTGTTGAGTGGAAGCCCATTGTTGAGTGGAAACCCTTTGTTGAGTGGAAGCCCCTGGTTTGGTGGAAGCCCGGTGTTTGGTGGAAGCCCGGTGTTCAGTCGAATCCCCTTGTTGAGTGGAAGCACCTTGTTGAGTTAAAGCCCATTGTTGATTTGAAGGCCATTGTTGAGTGGAAGCCCAATTTTGAGTGGAAGCCCTTGGTTGAGTGGCAGCCCATTGTTGATTGGAACCCCTGGTTGGGTTGAAGCCACTGGTTGAGTGCAATACCATTGCTGATTGGAAGCCTAATATTTAGTGGAAGCCTCTTGTTGAGTGGAAGCCTCTCGTTGGATGGAAGCCCCTTGTTTAGTGGAAGCCCCTTGTTGAGTGGAAGCCCCTGGTTGGGTCAAATCCCATTGTTATGTGGAAGACCCTGGTTGGGTGGAAGCCCCTGGTTTGGTGGAAGCCCATTATTGAGTGTAAGCCACTGGTTGGGTGCAAGACCCTTGTTTAATGGAAGCTCTTTGTTGAGTGGGAGCCAATGGTTTGGTGGAAGCCCATTTTTGAGTGGAAGCTCCTTGTTGGGTGGAAGCCCCTTGTTCAGTGGAAGCCCCTCCTTGGGTGGAAGCCTGTTGTTGATTGGAAGCCCATTGTTGATTGGGAGCTCATTCCTGAGTGAAAGCCCATTGTTGAGTGCAAGCCGCTTGTTGAGTGGAAGGCCCTGGTTAGGTGGAAGCCCATTGTTGAGTGGAAGCTGCTGGTTGGATGGAAACCCCTTGTTCAGTGGACTGGTTGAGTGGAAGCCCATTGTTGAGTGGAAGTCTAATGTTGAGTGGAAGCGCATTGTTGAGTGGAGACCCCTTGTTGGGTGGAAACCCATTATTGAGTGGAAGCCCCTGCTTGAGTGGAAGCCCATTTTGGGTGGAAACCCATTGTCTAGTGGAAGGCCCTCGTTGAGTGGAAGCCCATTGTTGATTGGAAGCCCATTGTTGATTTGAAGCCCATTGCTCCATGGAAGCTGTTTGGCGGAAGCCCCTGGTTATGTGGAAGCCTCTTGTTGAGTGGAAGGCCCTGGTTGAGTGGAAGCCCGTTGTTGAGTGGAAGCTCCTTGTGTCGTGAAAGCCCCTTGTTGGGTGGAAGCCAATTGTTGGGTGGAAGCCCTTTGCTTGTTGGAAACCCCTTTTGTTGGGTGGAAACCACTTGCGAGTTCAAAGCGCCTTGTTGGGTGGAAGCCCATTGTTGACTGGAAGACCCTGGTTGGGTCAAAGCCCATCGTTGAGGGGAAGTCCATTGTTGAGTGGTCGACAACGTGTGTGGTATTGTTTGGACATTGTGTCTGTGGCCCTGCTGTGGAAAGCCAAGGCAGCTGGAGTTTATGGCAATTTGGTTTATTTCTGTAAAACACAAAAAAAGCTTAAATCTACAAAGGGGTTAAAAAGTGCTGGATACACACTTTAGCTAGATAATTGCCAGAAAATGTGTTGATCAGTTTTGTAGCATTGCCTCCTGTTTCTCAGATGCTCAGGCGCTCAAGGGTTGTGACTTGCCACCCTGTTGTACATTGTTACGGAGAGCTGATGTGAAAGAGCCAGTAGTTTTACATCCTGGTGTGTCACAGTTTTGCATATTCACACCAGTATTTTAATATTCAGAAATAAGAATTAAAGAAAATCAGACGTCAAATAGTAAAACTTCAGTAACTTCCAACTTTGCAATCATGCTGATGAAAAAGCTCATGTTAATCAAGTAGAGGTGCGTCTCTAAAAATGTGGGGTTTCAATAAAACATTGCACAGAACTGCCAGAAGTGTGTGGCCCTAAAATGAACGCTGATGCTAACTGAAATTCCATCACTGCCACACAGCATTGAAGACTCGGTTACTAAGAAGGGCTGTGCTTGTATTAGAAAAATAAAAATACTGTCACTCAGCTATGGAGGAGCTCCAAGTCCATGAGCAAAATGAGAGACAAATTGTGGGTCCAGCACTGGGGGACTGTGGTGGTCCCGACACCCTGGGCACCCAGGGGGGAACATCCGCTGGCCACTCACTCGCTGACCCCTCTCTAAGGTCAAGCGCCGTGCTGACAATGCAGGTGACAACAATTCACTGTGTCAGCGGCTCAGCTGTGCCTGGTATGCGGAAGTGAGAGGCTGGAGCGGTGCCTGGGTGCTGGGGAGCTTCACCAGCACGGAGGGGGTGGATGGCCAGTAGGCATCTTCAACAACTGGTCACACCAGGCCTTCCAAGGCACCTCCACCCCATGCCACCAAACCAACGTGTCCAAGTCCCAGCTGCAAAGGTGCTGAACCAGACTTCTGTGGTAATCGGTGGTATATTCTAGAAGTATCTCCTTATTTAGTTTGAGACTGGCAGTATATAAAATCAGAGGATGGTTTGGGTTGAAGGAGACCCCAAAGCCCCCCCTGTCCAACCCCCATGTGCAGGGACACCCCCACCAGCCCAGGCTGCTCCAAGCCCCGGCCAACCTGGCCTTGGGCACTGCCAGGGAGGGGGCACCCACAGCTTCTCTGGGCAACCTGGGCCAGGGCCTCACCACCCTAAGAGTGAAGAATTTATCCCCAGTATCCAATCCAAACCTACCCTCTTTCATCTTAAAACCACTACCTCATCCATCATCTTATCCCTACACTCCCTGATAAGAGTCCCTCTCCAACTCTCCTGTAGGCCCCTTTCAGGTCCTAGATGGCTGTTGTGCTCCTGCAATAAATTCCTGTATTAACCTTGCAGTTATTATTTTATACAGACATTTTCTGAGTATTTATATATCATGCATAAGAAGTTATGACATTCAAAAGCTTTTTAGAAAAAAAAAAGTTTATTTTTTTTCACAAGGAAGAGCAATAGGAAAAATTGTTTTCCACATATTGTTTTCTCAAAACAGAGTCTACAAGGACATATTCAGCACCAAAACTAAGAACAAAAGAAAAGTACAAACAGCCATAGAATATAATCTATAAAGCAAACATTTAATATTGCACTTTGTTTCTCTAATGTTTGGATTTTACTTACTTTTTCCTAATTCAGATCAGAATTCTCTATCAAATACTGGGCTACAACTGTGAACCTCATGTTTTATAATGCTGAGAATTGACCAATAACTTGTGGAAGAGTAATGCCTCTTGAACAACTAACAACGAAATTTAAACTGCAACTCTTAACTCAGTAACATTACAGAATTTTTCACTCTCATCACGAAGGCTGTGATGCCAGGTCAATTACTACGATATTGGTCAATCCTGCTTCATACGCAGTTTTCCATTATATTGTGATAAGTACTTTAATGCTATGTATATCAGCAATTGTTCCCTAGTCTGTTAAAAGTAACAAAAAAGGAAAAAAAAGTAAAACCACCAAATGCCCTTTTATGCCAACGATCCCCTCAGCTTTTAAAGTTGTCTGGTTGGAGAGGGTAGAGGGAAGGGACATTCACAAAATTGGCCTAGCAACGTAAGACATCACCCAATTTCCTTCTCGTTCAATATTCCTGCTCAAAGCCCGAGGCCTTTTAACTGAATCACTTAAAACGCGACTCATTTGTATTTTATCACCCTGTTGTCATTTTTTTGAAACATGAATTATTCGTTCATGTTTGCATGAAGGCCACTTATGGAAAAGCCTATTATTTTGTCGCATTTGTGAAGCCTTAAAAACAAGGCAGAGGTTTTTTAAGAACCAGCACCGCGCAGAAACACCAGCCTCCCCTCTTCTGCTCCCTTCTGAGCTGTTTTATTGCACAAGGAGATAGAAACTTGATGGATTACATCTCGATTTGTTTAAGCAGTCAACACCAGAAGCATGTCCCTTTGTGAACGGTCTGCGTTACACAGTTTCTGAAAAGGAAAGTTGACTTTTATGATAAATCTCTAGCATGTAAGTGCTGGTATTTGTGTTAGCACATCTAATGGCTCCATCGCACTCATTTCTTCCTTGGGGCACACTCAAGGGCGAGTGCTCTGCCAATGTAATTTCTTGTATTCCGCATGAATACAGAGTGAAATTCGCTGTCCTGTTTGTTTTAAAGCTCTTGAGAGTACCACAGAAGATGCAATCATCGAAGCAATTCTCGTTAACTAGTATCTGAGTATGGCTGGTAACACTGATCTTGCTCAGTTTAATTATACTTCTAGTCTTACTATTTTTACAGTATCATAAACCCTGAAGATAATACAAAGTGCACAAACTGAGCTCTTAGCATAGTCCAAGCTTTTCCTGCAGTTTGAAATATACTTTCTACTAGAGACTCATTACATATAGAATTTTTGGTGATTAGGTAACTACATATAAAAATAAATTTACTTTCCCTTCCCATCCCTATTACTTGAGATATTGATCTGTCTATGAATCCTAGACAGAGTATGACTATTTCCTTTTAAAAATTTTTTGAGGCTGAGCTGGTGTCTGCTGGTGCTGCTTTCATTTGTGCCTTTGTTTCTTTTTTTTAAAGCTTCAAAACTTGAACATCTTTTTTATTACGCAGAAAGAGAAATGGGAATGAGGGTGGGTTTTGTAACTTTTGTGTATGTCCCTATTCCAGATCCCCCTCTCGAACAAAGAACAAAAAAACAAAACACAAACACAAAACAAAAAAAAGAAGTAACTCAACAGTGCAACGTAACAAAACAAATAGCATTCCAACAGTTTGGCAAGTGATGAGTTCACCTGAGATTAAGTGATTTTTTTAGGCAGTCTGTAACAAAATGCTGCTTTGCGATAATAGTAGAAAGGCAACAAATTCTGAAAGGAAATCAAGAAGGTATACAATCTTGATGAAGCCTATTAGTTTCTCTCTATTAACTCTCCACTCCCCGCCCCAGCCCCACATCTGTTGCGTATCTACTACAGTAGGCTGCAAAACATACAGCAAGAAAGATTGGCTTGAAGGCATTTGATGTTTGTAAATAAATCCACAATAGCATCCAAGCTGAAGAGGTGATACATGATCAGCCTACTAGGACAATTCTGAGCATGTGCATATGCAGGTAAAGTCCAGGCTACATTAAATTAAAGAAAGAAAAGTCAGTGCATTTGTCAAAGTCTGTTGCTGTTGTTTTTTTTTTATGTCAAAGCTTTCTTTTGCTCCTTACTGTGCGGACCACAAACAAATAAGAGGGGGTAACAACAGTCCGGCATAAATGAGAAAAAGCTGTAGTGATACTGAACCGCACAACGTAAGCGATGAGCATGTGCAAATCTCCAAATCATAAGAGGAAGCCATCCCTCTCTTACAACGTGGTTTGAGTGTTTTGACACACATGACTGTAGGTTAGTAAGGCTGCTCCTAGTATGTGCCAGTATTTAAAGGAGGGGGGGGGAGGGAAAAAAAAAAGCTCAGGTCTTCAAGCATGTGGAGCAGTCCTACAATGTTACTGTAGGCTTCAAAGCATGGTCACAGGTTGTTTTCATTTGTTCACCATACAGGCAAGAGCAAAACCACCTCCTCCGAAATTGTGTCTCCACGAAGACGCCTTGACCTTCAACACGGTTAAGTATGATCCGAAACCCAAGCCAAGTCAGCTCCCGATGGACTCCTTCAGCGAGAGGGGCAAGATGGTCTATCATCTGTGGGCTGATCAGGGTTTGGATCAATCTAACCAAAAGAGGGACAAAAAGGAACATAACCCGAGGCATTTTTAGAGTCAGTCTCTAGAAATTGACCCGTCCAAACAAAACCTCACCAAAATTCACAAATCTAATGACAAATAGTACTCCCTATCTATGTTATTCAAATAACTGAAAAACCTCTAGTCAATTAGACAAAACTTTGAATGAAAAAAAATCAGTAACTAAGTATAGTAGAAAGTTTTAAAGTACAGGCTGATGCTAATTTAACTACAAACAACTATAAAAAAACTGGGGAAAATCTGCTTTAGTAGCACAGAAGTATTTAAAATTATTTACTGTACACTAAAAAGACAGTTTATCTCTAAAAATGTAACTTAAAAATATTTAACTCCTTTCGCGAATGCTTCACTTCAAAAGACAGAATTACCAGTAAAATGTCATTCTACTTTTAGTTTACAAGTAATTAATCCTCAAACACCCCATAAAGTATCTTGGAACATATTTTACCTCTTCTTCCTCTCTACAAAAGGGGAACAACTTGTTAACATAGGTCCCCAAAACTAGATATTGAGAATAGTTTCAAGTAAACAGTTCAGACAATTCTTATCAGTTAATTTTATACAACAGTTTTCTGAGGACAAGAAGGCTTCTTTAGATCTTTGAGTGAGTGAAATGAAAAGGGTTTAAGAGTTGTACTCTACAGTTAAGCTACAGAAGAGTCCTCAGAGAAGTCTCCAGCACACAAAAACTATGCCCCTTCTCTGCCTACTCAATAGTGTTTCAAGAGGAGAAAGAAAAAATAAACCAACTGTGGGTGAATTCAGGCAAGGTTTATCCAAAGGACAGTATTTGATTCTGTCCTATACCGCTGCTTTTTCCTCAAAAACATGAACATGGAAAGCTTCTGAAGTTACGTCATGGTTATCCAGTGGTTTTCAGAGAACTAAAAATGCATCCAGAAATGCTGGAGAACTGTGTATTTTCGGAAACTTAAGTCAGAAAGAATAACCTTGTAACTTCTCTACATGGAACTTCTGAAAGCCCTACAGACACAGAACCAAAAAACACAGAGTAGCTTCAGAAAGAATTAGAGCTGAAAAGCATAGCACGCTGTGCATCTAAAGGCCCAAAATGCTGGTGTTAACCACTGCAATGTAATAGATACGTAATGCAAGGTTTTAATCAAGTTGCTAAGAGGGTACAACACAGTTTGGAAATTTCTACAAAACATCAGAATTGTGAAGAACCCTGAAAACTCTTTTTTAAAAAAGAAGCTGCCTTATCCCTTGTTTATAATTTTAATGATTTATCCTGATTTTAGAAAGGAGGAACAACATCCTACATTTACTCCAAAAGACAGAATTCTGAAAAAAAAACCCCAGTGAACCAATCATCATATTCTGTCTGAGGTACCTACTTCTGAATAGAGGGGTGGAGGCAGAAAACGGAACTCCTGGATGTATGCAAACAATGGTCCTGGAAGCGCTCTCTCAAAGTCATCACAAGCACCCATGGGTGCAAGGCTGGACTGCCTCTGTTCCTCCGTGACCACCTCTGCATAGCTAGGAGGTGCTGCAGGGAAAAGGCACACACAGTTCAAATAACAAGTTCTTATGCATGTCAAAAAATAGCAAAATAAATTTTTCATCATTGTAAAATATACTAACAGGTAGGCAAATTACTTCAGTGACTTTTTAACAACTGAACATGAAAGGGAGGGTAGGCTGGTTTATTTGATATGAAGACTATGCTCAAATCCAAGAGCAGACTGACCACTGCTTATCGTGGCCCAATTATCTTAAAATTTAAAGCACACCCAGAATACTGAACTTCTGTACATGCAGTAATGATAGAACACTGAACTCCAGAAATGAGAGTCTGGGATTTGTACATAAAAAAGGGATGTTTATCAGATACATGAAAACAGAAGGAAGGAGATACAAAGTTTCTCCTTTGACAAGAGATATTTCCCATTGAAATTATTTACATTATCTTTTGATAAAGCCTTGGCTACAAAGGCTGGTAAAAGACACCATAAACTGGTATTATAACAGGTTATAATGCTTTACAATCAACAATGCAACTGGGATAACTGGAGACACAATTAATTCTGCACAGGTAGGATGGAATCCTGCGCTTTCACTTGTGCCACCTTCTAAGCAGCTGGATTTCACTGCTTGTCCTTGAGAAAGGGAAGCAGGAAACCTCCACAAGCACCTTCATCTTGGGTTTATTATGAAGGATGTAATTTGGCTCTGTTTGCACAACAGCAGTGAATAAAGCAGACAAAAATCAAGACTAGCAAACTGATTGGGATTTGTACTGTCGTTACCTTCTGGCCTTTCAGGCAGTGTCAGGCCAAGCCAATTCATGTTCATGCTACACTGGCTGCTCACACTGGATGTTCTGCTACCAAAGGGGTGTAGAGGAATGGTACCAATGACCAGTGGTAAGTTAAGGAATAAATCCATGGCGCCTGGAATATCAACATAGACCTAGAAAAAAATAAAACAACAAAAGGCGTATGTGATTAAAACACAGGTTTGTGTAAGCACTTCGTAATTACCAGACTAAATTCTCTGTCCACAGAATTTTCCACAAGGAACTTAAGTTTCTTACTGTCTGTCTTAGGACCAATGCCCCTATAGAGACAAAAAAGCTCCCTGAGTCAAAAGCAGCTCAACATTCTTAACATGAGCCTTCACATGAAAATGTCTATTCACAACACATTTGCTTAGCTGGCACACCAGTACTGTTTGAAGAACATACATGATTTAAACCAAGCTTATTTACAGAAGTCCTGTCAGGACACCAGTACCAGGATCTGTACTTCTTTTTTAACTGGTCAGCACAGAATGCTTTGTTAGCAATTTGCAGGGCATGATGGAAACTACCTGTGCTCAAGTGAAAAAGACCACCCAACATACCATCAGTGAATATTCCACACGGATTATACTGCAGTCGAGGATTGAAGGGGAAACGGGTGGAATTTTCAGCTGTTTGCCATTCCAGGTTTCTGTTTTGCCAGATGACAAGGAATCCCCACGCAGGTTGGCAACAAGCTGTTTGACTTCCTTCATTTTCCCTTTGGCATAAAATGCCTGTGTTTGGTAAATGGCTGCCTTTGGCACCACCACACGGGAAGAGCAGTTCTCAATCTCAGCAAAGATCTGAATTGATTCACCTGAAAACAAAACAGAATTTCATGTTCTCTTTGTATTTACAAGGCACCTTAAGCAAATTGCCACGTTCTGTGTATTGTTTATACAACAGCACTGGATGCTGCTAGCCATGCTCTACCCTGAAAAACATCCACTAATCCTAATTGGAATAGGATCACCATGAGCTAATCTAAAAGAAGAATGCACAGGTCTAAGAGAAGCAGATGCCCTTTGACAATCTGGAGACAGAGCTAGCACCAGTTAACAAAATCAGTTGTAGTTAATAAACTATTAAGATTGCTGTGTGCAGACTGAGGTGGTAAGAATAGCTAAATATTTCGTTTATATAGAAGCACTAAGTACAAACTGTCGTTACAAAAGGGAAGGAAAAACATTTCCTATGATTACTTCTGTTACGTACCTGGGGTGTAGCCCTTCCTTTCAATTTTGGCACTTAAGGATATTGGGCCTGAGGTACAAAACCAACAACAGAGAGTCTTTTCTTTTGTGCCTGCTTGGGGTGACTGCAAGAAAAGAACAACATTGCCCATTTAATTAAGGGTTCCACAAATCTCTTTATTTTAAACAACACAAAAAAAATATTTTAATGATGTATTTATTCTTACGTATTTTGATAAACATAGCCAGTTTTATTTAGAGGAAAAAAACTCAAGGTATTTAAATGGCGCTATGCAGATGCAAGGTTTATTCAAATTCCATTACTCTTAAGACTACTTTTTTTCTCTTACATGCTCTCTCTTCATACTACACTCATACTTAAAACAATTTTTATACATAAATACTGTGTAACTTCAGAAAAGGCTTTACAGCCTACATAACCCAACATAGTGTTGGCAGAGCACTTTATTTACCAGTAAACTATAACAACTTTCCAGTACATGTATTTCAGAAACAATAACTAAGCTCAAGTACTGTAACCTTGACTTCTGCTATTTCCTCTGTTTCGGAATAACCTCGTTTCATCTATATTAAACAGACTGTTATTTTACACAATATCAGGCTTTAGGACTTGATCCAAAGCCCATTAAAGTCAAATGGGAATCCTTTGATTTTAATGGAATTTGGGCAAGGTCAATGTTCCTTTGCAAGTCTTTATTTTTCACCCATACACGCAAGAAACCTATTTCAATGGACTTTGAGGGGTTTTTCCCTCCCTTCCATGGATCTGAATTTGAGGAAGAGGAGGGAAAAAAAAAGAAAAGCAATTTTAGGCCAGATTGAAATAAAATCCTCATCGAAAGCAGTTGTGATACTGAAATTATTTTAATGAAATGACATTTCAGAGAAAGATTATATAGAATTGTGATAATTTCTCCCCACTGGTAGAAAACTATCCATATGGAAATTATCAATTATGCACGTCAGTACATTTTTTACTTTGCATTTTTAAGTTAGCAGTCTCTCTCTATAATATTCTTTTAAGTCTCACTGTTCCTTCCACAGATTATTGTTTATTCAAAATCAAAGAGGAACAGTTAACAGAATTTTCCTTCTTGAGTGACATTTTACAATTTATCATTACCAATTTAAATTGACAAAGCCATTTAACAGACATCTTAAATGTGAAGCAACTCCAAGCACAGGAAAACGTAGCTTTCAAAATACCAGTAGTTAAAAGAGTTGCTGAACTGATGTAATACTTATAAGATCGGCTGTAATTAAACTAGAGAATAAATATTAAGTAAAATTAGATGTGGATATTGTTTCACTTATACTTAATTATTTTTATGCCAGAAACAAAGAATGAGTAATTCTGTCAATTCTTACCAGTAATGAAGGAGTGTTGATATCTATATGTTCAAAGACTGTAAATTCCTTCTTTAATTTTACTGGTAGAAACCAAGGCCTATGCACTTCGGCTTTCACCCAATAGCGCACACTGCCATGTCTGCCTTCGAATGAGGTAGCAAGTGGTCTGTGCAGGACAAAGGTCAAAATTGAGTAAAATCTTTCTGTCTAATAATGATAAAAGTGATCAGATCAGGGATTAGTATGTAGAATTGCATTTTTTTTTAATGCACTGTAGTATTTAATGCAGCATAACTTATTTGCAAAGTTTCCATATCTCAGAAAAATACAAGATTAAAAGATGGGAGAAAAAATCATCTCCAATTCATCCTACTGCAGTTTTGCATATTTTAAGGATCAATGAAAGAATTCTACCAGAAAATGACAGGAGAGTACACATTTCCTTTAAACTCAAGAGGTGACTTTCACATTTACAGTAAAGCACGCCCTTTTTACAGCAAAATTAAGACTACCAACTGAAAAGTAGCATTAGTATCAATTATTGTTTTGGATGTTGTATTTTGTAAATAATTGTAGTTTACTTGGCTGGTAAGTCAGCTTGCAGTTAATTTTAGCTGTAACTCAGCACTTTTGTAGTTTGTTTTGCCTTAAGCAAATATTTCAATCTAGAGTTATGAAGAGAGGCTAGCTTGAGTACCTTCTAATTTTCCTCTATCCTGATGAGACCAGCTTAAAACATCCATATTGTAAGCATTTATCTACATAAGATCATCAAGCCTCCTCTGCTCTCAAATTTGACAGATGGAAGTTGTCCTTTTTTGGGAGCTGGAGGAAAAACAATGTGGAAAGGATCTCCAAACCTTTCAGCATCACCTTTTATTTCCTGTATCATAAAATGAAAGACAAAAGATCTTTATATTCCAGTTCTCTTCAATTAACAGTAGTCTTCCATAACATATTTTTATGCAAGTAAATTTCTTTTATACTATGTTATGGATACACTGTAATACATAAATTAAACATAAGTTATTTGGCAAAGCTTCCATATGTTTCATAGGGAAAAATTCTAGCCATGCTAGAACTTTACTAAATTTTTCCTTTCAGTTATACGTTTGGCTTCTTCATTTCCACATCTGAAATGCTTACTTTGTTTCTCCTAATAATCCAAATGAAAGGATTTTCTAACCCATCTCCAATGTTTCATCCTGCCCCATATTCTTCAGGGCAAAAGTCAGCGAGGCCAGCATGTGTCTTGTATTTCCACTGCTACTCTGTAGTTTAAGTGAGTTTTGGAAACATTCTATGGACACAAAATAACAAGTACGTAGGCAGTGTCAAACTTCACACTTCTAATGCCTGTCTTTGTTTCTTCAGCATTATCAGCAGCTGGTTTCACAGTTACTCCTTCTGGACACTTAAAAAGAAACTGTGTTTTGACCAATACTTGTGATATTTTGCTAGCTATCTGCTTCACTTCAAGATAAGCATATCATGCTTGTACATGTTTTTTTTTTGTATGTAAATACCCCTTCCAACTCAAGGGAAGGTCAGCATTAGCCTTATTTCTTTCTGCAGTTGAGATTTTCACAGAATGCTAGATGGTCCTTTAAAATCTCCACATATACAGATCTTCTAACATGTACTGTGAAGTCCTGTTCACTTTGAATCTGACCTGTAAAAGTGTTTATCATCTGCAAGTTCTGCTAAAAACAGCACCTCTTATAAACAGATGGTTTATTACCTTAATGTTAGGTACTGAGCCATTTCACATAACACACTGCCAAGTCTTTTCAACCTTAATGATTTTACTGCTTGCCTTCTACAGCTAAAGGCTGCTTTTTGCATCCATGTCAGGACTCCCTCTGTTCTTGTGTATTCAATTTTATTGCAACATGTATTTTCAGATCCTTTCAGCTCACACTGGTAACTCCTCTATGCATTAATCTTCCATTGACAGGGTCTACATTACAGATTTCAGACTTATGGGGTGGGGGAACAATCTTTATTTTAACGCTTCTGCTCTCACTCTTGCTTTACCTTTGCTTTCTGAGACAAACGGGACTGGGCATGGGAATTTTTCTTGCTTTATCCATGCATCCTTCTGCTTATTTCCGTCCGGGCTTTCTGCATAAAGGCCAGCCTGAATGGTATATACATCCTATTTAAAGGAGAACAACCTCCTCTTTTGTTCAAACATAGTAAAACTTGCCACATCTGTTTCAGACTGAGCCCAAACAATTCATCTGTGATCTTATCTCTACTTCTGCTGGCTCCAGTGAGCTGTTGGTTGGGTTAGAAGTTATCTCAGCCACTCTGCAGGACTCCAGTGATGGTTCAAACTCCTCTCCCTCCCCTTCGGAAGGGATAAAATATTGGAAGAGTCAAGGGCTCGGACAAAAGAAAGTGTGCAACTGGGCAGCAACGAGCTCCCATCTTGTGGAAATAAAATAGAAAAAGGAAGCGTGCATCAGTTTAAAAGCAACCTCTTCAGTTTAATGAGATTATGTCCTCTGCTGCATGTCAGAGCACAATTCCTTCTACCATTGAAAAGGTTTCCCCTCCACCCACAGCAGTTTTGCTCAGGTGGGTGGGCAGCAGGGCCCGAGGACTGCATGGGGGTACTTGCATGGGGGTACTTACGTCTGTGGAAGCTCGAAGCTGAATGCATATTCATGCCTTCCCGAATGGATGGTGTGAAGGCCTTCTTCTGAATTGTCATCGTCTAGAAAGGGGAAAAAAAAAAAGCTATTTCACTTGCACACATTTTATACATTATATGGGCTTCTCTTCCAGAATTCACACTCTCATTACAGCACTTAAGAACGTGTGTCCCATAAACAAGGGTCTCTGGCCCATTTGTGTTAACTGCTGGATGCAGGAACAAATCTTACCTACAGAAGGGTAGGCAAGACTGCCAGATTCACCTAATAGAAAAGCAGAGGTTAATTTGCTTTAATGGATAATGTCCTCTCTGAACACTGACACAGTTGGAACTGCTGCCATTTCAAGGCCTGCCTGCAAGACCTGTAATGGAAATTATGCTTTCCACTGTGATTCCTAGTTAAAATGAAATAGGGATGGCTCTTTAACAGCATTTAAGCGTCTGCTGTGTAAGATTAAATTTAGTAATTCAGCTTCCTTTTATCTTCTGCCTGGCAACAGCGTCCAGAAATTAATCACCAAAAAAAAAAAGAATGGAGATTAAAAAAATAGAAGGGTGTACAAGTACCACCTAGAAAGTACCAGACCAATTCAGGGGCACTGATAAATGGCAACCTGCCTCATTAACATTGTCTAAAGCTAAACTTTGTGAATTCTGGCAGGTTTACTTTATCTTGCTTGGACACTGAAGACCCCAGATACATGCTGGTTGCACCAAGAAAGCTGACTGTTGTTTGTGATCTGATTCCTTGTGCTACTTTAAATGCTGTAACAAATTTGTGGGTTATTCTGACATAATTGCCATAAAACCAGAAAAACGCTGACTCCATCAAAATCGAAAGTTAAAGAGAAAAATAACTGAGCATTAAAAGGGCTGGAATAATAAAAACGGGTTACAGTGAGACAATGCAAAAGGCAATTGCTTATATTTAATGGTCTGAAGCATTAACAGAGGCATGAAGGCGCACAGGAGGATTTTAATTTCCCATTGTCCTACAGAAACACCAATGCTTCCTTCTCTGTAGAGCACCACAAACACATTTTTTTTTGAAAAATAAAAGAAAAATAAACGAAAAATAAAAGCCCCCATCAGCAAGCTGTCCAGAGAAACGCACCCTCAGCACAGCGTGTCACAAAATAAAAAGTGAGGAAAATGTGCCAAAAGGGCGATACAATGAGTCTCAGTGTGAGGTGTTGGGGCTTTTTATTTTATTACATTCTTTTATTTTAAAGGCAGGGGGAGCGTGGCTTTTGGTCGCGGCTCTATTTCCCAGCACGGCGATCTCCTCCTCACAGTCTCCCTTTCTCCCCCCCACCCTCCACTCCCCACACC